TGTTCAGCCGTGTCCGCAAACCTGACGGATATTCTAGACGTGGAATCCTGCCACCCCTTGATATGGCGGCCATGGAGCCGTTCGATAACTTCCTCAGCAGCCGTACGCGACTCAAGCCTAAGCGCCATCCGACACTACTTATCAGCTGAGGTATTCCATTAGAGGCGACGCCCACCACTCACCGCACGAACGCAATTGTCTTCGGCGGATTACTCAGCTTCGTCTGAAAAAAACGGCTGCTCATAATTCGATACGGATTCACCAATGCTGATAAGCTCCGCTCATCGATGTTCAGCGGTAGGCCTTCCATATACAAATTTGTCGACGACATGTCCCTCAGTTGTTCCATCCGCGCTTTGAACGAATCTGCAGGGGCGCGCACCCCAGCACTAACGACAGTCGACGAGAATGAAGGCGAAGAGTAGACCGTGCCAGGAATCTTGTGAATTTGCTATCGTATAAAATGCATTTATTATGAATGGGCGCATCAAAAATGACTCATTGTTCACGGACCTTAGAAAATGACGGATGTAGGTTGCGATACTTTCGCAACGTCTCGATGCACTTCTCCGCAGCTTCTATCGTTTTGAATCTTTCATCATTTGTATATAAGCATAAGGCAATAAGAAATTTCTATGAGTACGTACAGAACAAATCCATAGCCACTTGAGGCAAGAACACCAAAAGAAGATCAAAGACGGAGGTCAGCGCTGCGAAAACTAATCACAAGAATGGGCCTCAAAGTGCGATCCGCGTCGGACGGTGCAAAGGCGAGACTCTACGAGGCTATCCACCCCGCTCGTTGCATATCGAAATCAAGACAATTTAACTCACGAAGGTTTGTCGCAGACGTGCCGCGTAAATGTGCGGACGCTCTCGACCTCCCCAAATTTGCGTGTCATCTCGAGGAGGTCTTCTTCGGGGAAATTGGGTGGAAGACCGTTGATGTAGACATTCGGGGTCCGAAGCTCAGATTGCTCATCCTCCAAAGAAACGGAGCTTCGAGTCGAATTGGGAACGACTGATCGGATATCGGGATGGGGGGAAGGAAGCTGGACTTGCGGAGAGGAAGGATCAATAGGAATGAGAGGGCTGGAGACAGTCCGTAGAGCTAGCGAGAATTCGTCAAATATGAATAACCAGACGGCCATGACTACGTACGAGAAATGGGCTGGACGGCAGGGGGTGTCCTGTCCTGCTGATCAACGGCGAGAGAAAGGATGGGAGGCGTAGTTGGCTTGTCGGGCACGCTAAGACTGGAGTTTTCAAGCTGAGAAGTGATTTGCCGTATGTCGATGAAGGTATTGAGTAGCCTGCTTTGAAATTGAGGGGCCGCGGCGGATAGCGCGGTAGGTGTAATCAGAGTGCGATTAGAAGGAGAGCGATCACGAGGGGAAAGTTCGGGAACGTGCTGGGATGAGGGAGACAAGTCTTGGCTTGTGTGAGAATCAGAGGCAGGCGGCGAGAGTGGTATGGCAAGTGAAACACTGAAAGGCGGGGTACTGATGGGTATATCTGCGATCGGGGACAAAACAGAAAGCGTGGGCGAAGAGTGGCTGGAAGGGGTATTCATGTTGGCGAAAGGAGACGAGCGTTTTGGGGAGATGTGATTCTGATTCTTGCAAGGCGGACGGTTTGGAGAGGGGGGAGTATTCATGCTAGCCGGGCAGATAGAGACCTTAAAGGCAAGAGAGCGAGAGTAGTCTTGTATTCGTACGACTAAGAGTGGTCCGAAAGCGGACGGCGGAGACGTGGGCTGGGACGGTTCGACAAGCCTGTGGAAAGCGGATTACGACAACTGGATGTAGACTGCAGAGACGAGATGCGATTTGCGAAAGGATGTGTGGATACAATGTCGAGCTATGCGTGTAGGCGGAACCGACGGCTGTTTTTGGACAAGCTGGAATGTGGCGCAGGTATGTGGGAGACGGGGATAGAGGCACTTTGGGCGAGAGGGATACTTGGGATACGGGGAGTGTGGGTAGTGTGATGACGGGACGGAGAGAAGGAACGGAAGGGGCAGTCGGCCGAGGAGCGCTGTACTTATAGTCGGGAGACATGCAAGCAGCGCGTCGTGCCCCGATCCGCGTCGACGCCCTGTCAAAGAAGAAGGCTAGATTGCCTTTTTTGGGGCGTCGCATGCCTCCTACGACATGTGTGGCTCAGTTGGAGCGCCGACTGCAGCTGCCCCACTTCTTCATCCAGCTCCGCTTCCTTCCTGGCTCGACGCCGCCCAGTCCAACGAACACTCACCTCGCGCCAGGACCAGCCGACAGGGACCAGCGCCGGGGTCTGGGAAGACAGCGCCGGCGATAGCAGACTGCCGTCCGCGGCATTGACGACTGCCCGAAGTGCACCGTCCCCGCCGTCACACAATGCAGTCTAGCCTGCTGGAAATCAGAGATCTGGGGAGTCGTCGACCAGAGGCCCGCTCCATGCGCGTAGATCTCCCGAGCGAATCTCGCGATCGAATGGTTGCGGTCACGTGCACACGCCCTCGGTCACCCGTGGCTCACTTTTATCCCAACAATATACTACTTTAACTCTTGTATTTGTCAACGACGAGGTCTAGAACAGCCTGCCCCCCACATACTCGGGCCACGTCTAAAGGCGCGAGGTCCCTCTCACCCTCCTCAAGGACCTAGTACGGGGGTACAAGTTTTTCTCTCTCTATTGGCTTCACCGTGTTCTTTCTCCTTCTCGAGGCAGTGCCTAGGCCAATTGCCCCCAGACCCCTCACATCGTAATCGGCAATCAGAATACTAGCGCAAGTTCGGTATAAGCGATCTCTGGCGTACGCACACTCTTCTCACTTTTCTGCATCATCCTGTCACACTGTTACAGATCAATCTGAATGCACTCCGCGATATTCACTCCTAGCGCTTGCTGCTCCATCGAGTACCATCTTAGCAATTCCCACGAACGGTTCTGCTAGGTCTCTCCACTCGCTTCGAGTTCGATCCCGACGGAGACCATACGTTCCATACTGAGATGGGAATTGTCCAAACACGTGTTTATCATTCAGAATGCCTACAATGTTACAGCGAATTATGTCAGAGGAAGGGCCCGACATCATTGTCTTACATTGATCATCCTTCTGATGTGCGGCCTGTTTTCTCCTCCACCTCAAAGCGTTGTTCGACGAACATCTTAAAAACCGTTTGTCTCGCGAACAAGTTCATCTTCACGCTCTCTCTACAATCGGTCTGTTCAGCCCTTGTTGCCTTCTTTGATATCTCACGCTAGCTACAGATATCCTTACCAAACTCGATACTGGTGCCAAAATCACGGGTATCACATCTGTTTGACCAGCGCAAGTTCTTTTGCTCTGCGTGTTCGAGCAAGGTGCATCCCCTTTCTACTTGTCCTCAGGGATCCTCCACGAGTGGGCGTAGCTTCCAGCATGATTCATCTGATGGAACGTTGTTATGTGCTCAAGACATTGAGCATACACCCGAGGTTTTATCCGAATCTCATTTTCTTCTGGGAGCGGTCAGTGACAGTCGATCACTCGGCGGGGCGTCAAGTTTATTTCCTGGGGCGCTGAAGCTTTCCTTCTCACCAGACGCGCGATGGGCGCTTTAACACGGGCGCGTGGTCCTCCTCGTGTTATGGCGCCGCAAAACCTAATTCACCTCGTTTGTGCGTGTCCTTATCTCTCTCTCATTCGTTATCACATTCGCATCCCCCCGTGTCTCTACCCTCAAATCGCGAGGACACGCTTCCCCTCGTTGTTCATTCAGTTCATGAGTAATCCAACTGATGGGTTATTCTGGAGCAACTCTCAACTATCTATTTCAGGCAGCTTCGGGCGCATGTGATCTGTGGATGAGATAGCGGCCGTACGCACAGTGACTATCATCAAGGAACAATCTTCAACGCTTCTGCATATTCTAACAAAGAGAGAAAGTGCCGTATGTACTATGCGCTCAGTGGCTAATGGTGTTAGATTGAATTTAGAATCAAAAGGCAGTTTGCCTTGCGAACTGTTGGTATTCGGTGTGTCTTTTGTCTCAACAGACGCGCGCCAGGGGCTGGACGACAAAATCACGGGCGCGCGGTAGACCTCATTGTATCCTCGTGTTTTGGCTTCGCAAAGCGCATATATAATGTACTTCATTTGCGCGTGCGCCTATGTATCTCCCTCTGCTGTGTTATCGCGCACACCGCCCTCGTTCTAGTCCCCACATCGTGAAGACTCACTTTCCCCGTTGTCCATCCATACATGAGTGGGGCTTTGGCCAGCGAGCCAGGGTTGACAGTTACTCAGCCACCAATCTCAGCCACCTCGTTCTCCACGAGCTCTGTAGATGAGACTGCGGAGGCACGCACGGCGATCGCCATTGTACAATCTCGGAGCACGCTTGAGCTACTCTATGCATCTTCGAGGGACGAAAAAGCACAGTATATTGACTGCTTTGACAAGGCGAGTGGATTGCGTGCTATCTGTGAAAATGCGTTTGTCTGACGGACAGAAAGGCCCTCGGTGTTCTAAGTACCACAGAACGAAAATGGAGATTCAAAATCATCCGTGTACTGAGGAAACTTTGCTCGGAGACGGGATCATTCCCAAAATCACTGATGCTTCCGTCAAGCGAGTTAAGCGCGGAGGGACCACCAAGAGACTACGGTGGATTCGCGGACGTCTGGCTAGGCAAGCACAAAAATCAAGATGTCGCGATGAAGGTGGTTCGGGTTGGTCAAGAGAACCGTGAAATGCTGCGGAAAGTAGGTTTATCCGGTATCCAAAGTGTGGTGGTATACCGATCTCTACAGCTGGTCATCAAAGAGGCAATCTGCTGGAAGTACCTTGTCCATCCAAACATTGTGCCATTCTTTGGAGTTGAAGAGTCAGATACAAGATTATGCATGGTATCTTTGTGGATGCATAATGGGAATCTGCCTCGATACCTCAAGTCCAATTCGCTCGCGGACTGCGACCGATTGAAATTGGTCAGCTCGCATATGCTCCACTTTGCATATGGCGTCACATGATGCGTAAGCCGACAGATAATAGATGTGATTGAGGGACTCCGATTTTTGCACGCTGCGTGCATGGTGATTTGAAAGGCATAAGCCGTGATGTTGATTTTCCGAACTCAAAGTTTAAACGGTGCTCTACCTTTCAGGCAAACATTCTCGTCAACGATGAGGGAGTAGCATGTCTGATAGACTTCGGGTTGACAGCAATTATGCACAAAGCTGATACTATCGGAGCGACGAGGTCTATTCGATTCCTGCTAGATAATTCATTCGGAGAATGATGACGCTCTATTCAAGGCGTTTTCGGGCCAGATTCCATTTCATAATCTCAAACTCGATGGTCAAGTCATTCTTCAGATTATGAATGGTCGACGCCCCTCTCGCCCCAAATCCATTCCTGACCATCTGCGGACGCTTATGCAGAAGTGCTGGCATACGCAGCCCAATATGCGCCCTTCCCTTCAAGACGTGATGACCAGCCTTCGATCGGTACGTCAAGGCGAAGCCCCTTTTGCTGGAGAATCTGGAGATGAAAACACAGGGCGGTTGTACGCCCCATTGGTGAATCGTATCAGTCACGGGCGACGTTTAAGAGAGCGCAGATTGGCTGGTGTCACCAGCCATGAGCGGCCCGTACGAGACAGATTGAGTAGTAATACTAGATATAGATAGCCAGTAGGAGAAAGGGTAGGTAGCGACACCAGCCATGGGCGGCCCGTGGGAGAACATAACGGTGAGTTGCACTACTCTGTATATCAGTGGGAGCTGCTCACGAGTATGACGTGAATAGCGTTCATCTCCGCTTCATTTGCAAACAATGACGCATGGTACCTACATGAGTATTACGACCCGTCGACCGCCGAGGCGAACAGAGCCCCAAATACGTTGGCATTGTATACACCCGAAGTAAAGCTATGGCATAGGTCTCGATGACCCCTTCGCCGGGACCTTCAGGGAACGTCCGGCCGAATAACATGGCGTTGAGTGAACAAATCCATTGTCAACGGTGGACACCCTCCCCTTGGCGGAGTGTGTGGCCGGGAGCTGTGAGCACGAGACCCGGGGGGAAACATATTGCCGCGACCCATCTTGTCACTGACGAGATGGGTGCTGATCTGGGACACGCAGCGATGGACGTTGCATCCACACGGCATGGTCCACCCTATTACTGCGGAGCGGTACTAGATGAATCGGCTTTCGGAGTGGATGGGTAGGACTACTTGCAGCATACTACGCAAAGTCTTTTGTGGCCCATAGCTCTTTTTTTTTTTTAAAATTTATGTTTGCTGCCCAGGCGCATGAATGAGAAAAACACATTGCTTGGCGGTGTGTGTGGCAGGGACTCGGAGCTGTTAGCACAAGACCTGAGATGGTGCATGCACGGATCAGAGGCTAGCGATCTGCCATGCTCGGTGCCCGAATGTGACATCTCATGCTCGAGCTCAGAGAATCGAGTGGAAAAGCGATCTCTTTCAGCGCATGTCCGGCACGTCATGGCATGAACGAGTAGGACTACTTGCCGCATACTACCCAAAAGCCTTTTATGCCCCCATAGCGAGAAGACACACTTGCTCGGCCGTGAGCCACCCA